TTTTGCAATTTCATCCACCCGTTACGATTAAGCATTCCATCACGACCAAAATTCCTTCCAAACAACAAAGGATAATTTAACTTCTCACTGTAACGGTCGTCCTGTTGCGCACACTTAGAGATTTCAACTTGAGATTCTGATGAAAGGAAGAAAATCATGGTCGAACAATTTAGAGAATTCCAGAAATTCCTGAACAATTAACTTGCTGATAATCGCCATCGGCCAGATTCCCAAATCGCATCTTTTTCTTGAAGGCTCAAAACCTGTTCTCCCATCCAGTTCCCGGATTCCTCATCAACCTTGTTCTTTTATCATTCGATCTAACCTTCCTTCCGTCTACTTTTAATCATCATATAAATAGTCCATTTAACTTTCATTGATATCGTCAATAATCACTTGATGTTGCATTTTGCTTCCTTCGATACAATCATTCCATTCCACAAGGGAATGTTTCTTTGTTTTATGAATTCCGGAAAGATTCATATCAGATATCCTTCTTCCCAATATAAATAGAAGATTTCCAAATTCGTTTCATTAAATTTTAATTTAAATTTTGAAATCTTTTCTCACATATCGGAAATATCACAATTTTCCGGAAATCAACATAATCAATTACGGGTTTGAGGGCTGTCCCATCGCGAAATACTTCTGTTTTTTTTTCTAAATCTGAAAGGTCCGAAATGTCTCTTTCGTCTTGCCTTTTTTTCTTCGCCTCTTAAAAGCTATCAAGCAATCAAAAATTTGAAAATTCTTATGGAAATTTGGAAATTTTCAACCATTTTAATCAATTTCAGATTGTCCTTATCAATGCATCTTTTCACTACTTTGTTACTGTTTATCTGCGCTGTCGTCGTGGTCCAAGTAAGTTCTTCGGTGGACTTCTATGAGAAGGTTATGTTCCAAGCAACTCCCAAATTACCAAACATGAATAGATTTTGTTTTTAGGCGTGCACTCCATCCCTGATAGGTGGATTTGAAGGGCCAGTAGGACCGCCAGGGCGAGATGGACGCGATGGAAGTCGAGGAGAGCCAGGACCTAAAGGTCCAGATGGTCCGAAAGGAAAGCAGGGAATCCAAGGTCCGCAGGGACCACAAGGTCCTCCAGGCGACAAAGGAATAGAAGGACCGCAAGGTATGAAAGGTATGAGAGGAGTTCAGGGAGAAAAAGGACCAGATGATGCCAGATAAAGGATAAATGCAACAGGACTTTATCCGTGATACCGTAGTAATCCTATCCAGTAATATTTGTTCTCTTATTTCAGTTCTTTTTGTTTGCACCAAACGTATTGCAGATTTGCTCCTCCCATTATGTTCACGAAATTCATAGGCCTGAAATCATATTTCGGTTTCTTGACTGAATTTGCTTGCGAATACTAAAATTCGAAATATGAATTTTATGAAGCAAATCATTGTTGTATATTCAAATATCAGTTTTATGCCACTGTCACTGTTAAGTAATAAAGCTTTTTGAAATTTGGCCGATTTTTAAATTGGACGAAAAATGAAATAAAATATTTTGCATAAGCGAAAATTGCTAATTTGCTTACAATTCACTTTCCCTTTTAAAATCTGAATCACATAGAAAGATATTCATATACCTGCGATAGGATGTGATCAAAATAGTTCAAATTAATTTTAGATACAAATTATTAGATGAAATGAGAGAGTGAAATGAAATGAGAGACTCAGTTTGGAAGGAAATGAAAAGATAAAGGTTATAAAGAAAAATATAAAAATTATAAAAATACAAAAGGGGAATATGTGATCACAACGTTTTCGACACGTTTTCCTTCTTACTTAGCCAATGCAAAAGTCATCGAAAGACTTATTGCTTTTTATAAAATGCAAATTACAATGCAATCAATTCTTTTGTTTGCTCATTAAAATAAAGTATAATTAAAATATCACTGAACGATGGGGTGTCAATTATAATGTCAGTCCATTGATCGATCGATATTTATTAAATTCAACTCTTCTATTCTTATTATGAATAATCTTTTATCGTTTCTTTAAGTCAGCTGCCTTTTTTTTGGAATTTACAATCTTTAATTATTCATATTTTGATCGCAGTGGTCAATCTGCCAGAGTTATTGACAATGTGACCAGTGGTCATTATACTTGTGGCTAAGTGACATCCACCATCAGTTGACAACAGTTTAACTTTTCAGTCTGACACAATTCATTCAGTACTTCATCTTCATTCCCACACTTAACTGCTTTGTTTCAATTTATTTAATCAGTAATTTCTTCTTCTTTCATTCAACATCAGTCCTTTATTGTGACCTCAATTCTTTCTCAACAGACTACTTCGCTTGGAATAAATCTTAAGGTCAGTATTGCTATTCATCATTCAACCCTTCCGCAATGACATTCCAAAAGTATGACACGACCTTAAGTCATCCAATTTTTAACCTTATCATGTATTTCACTATTTTAAACCTATTTCATCATCAGTATCATACTTGAGTTTCTAAAGTTATGACAACAATGGTTTATGCGAGCTGTATCCGATCTTGTATCAGTTCCGGATCACTTCATATATTTGCCGATATAACTACTCCCCATCAAAAAAGAAAAACAAAACAGAGCACTTTACACAGTAATTACTGCAAAACGTCTTTACTTGCATAAATTCGTAACCTGAAATTGTTCGGGACACCAAACATTACACACATTAAAATACGCGTTTGAAGTGTTTCAAAAATTTTCATTTAATTCCAAAAACAATTCAGAAGAATGACTCATGATATTTCATCCACAGTGACAAATTGTGATTTGAATATATAACAAAAATTTGTTCCATAAAAATGAAATATAAAATTCAAATTTTAAATTCCTGCTTACATAGGTTTACTTACATAAGCAAATTTCATTAACTCACCAATTATTATTTCAGGCCTATAAATTGCATAACGTAGTAGAAGGGTTACATTCACAATACGTTAGTGCAAATAAACATTACCCGAATAAAAGAACAGATATCATCGGATGGTGGTACTATTGCTTGGTTTTCTACGACAAATTCCACATTTTGCTGCTATTTTTCACCTTTTGGTCCTGGTGGCCCTGGCTCTCCAACGGGACCTTGTGGTCCTGGTGGTCCCCTTGGACCTTGTTCGCCGCTTGGTCCTGGCTCTCCTGGCTCTCCAATAGGCCCCGGTATTCCTCGAGGTCCACTTAATCCTTCTGGTCCTGGTTCTCCTTCATTTCCATCAATTCCATCTTCTCCTGGCGGTCCTGGTTCTACTGAATTTGTCGGTCCTCCTAGAAGAGATGGAGTGCATGTCTGAAAACAAAATTCACACATACATGGTAATTTGGTAGTTGCATTGAAAAATACACTTTCCTTTTGAAGCAATCCATTGTGGAACTTACCTGGACTACGACGACAGTATAGACAATTAATAATAAAGCCGTGAAAAGATGCATTGATAATGACAATCTGAAATTGATTAAAATGGTTGAAATTTTTCAAATTTCCATAAGAATTTTCAAATTTTTGATTGTTTGATAGCTTTTAAGAGGTGAAGAAAAAAGGCAAGACAAAAGAGACATTTAGGACCTTTCAGATTTAGAAAAAAAAAAAACAGAAGTATTTCGCGATGGGACAGCCCTCAAACCCGTAATTGATTATGTTGGTTCTAGCCGGAAAATTATGATATCTCGGATATGTGAGAAAGGGTTTCAAAATTTAAATTGAAATTTAATGAAGCGAATTTGGAAGTCTTCTATTTATATTGCGAAGAAGGATATCTGATATGAATCTTTCCGGAATTCATAAAACAAAGAAACATTCCCTTGTGGAATGGAATGATTGTATCAAAGGGAGCAAAATGCAACATTAAGTGATTATTGACGATATCAGTAAAAGTTAAACGGAATATTTATACGATGATTAAAAGTGAACGGAAGGAAGATTAGATCGAATGATAAAAGAACAAGGTTGATAGGGGATCTGGGAGTTAAATGGGAGAACAGGTTTTGAACCTTCAAGAAACAGACGTGATTTGAGAATCTGGCTGATGCTGATTATCTGCTGGTTAATTATTTTTCAAGAATTTTTTGGAATTGTCCATATTGCTCAATCTGCTTTCTTATATCAAAAATTCAAGTTCAACTTTGTAAAGCGATTCATTGTTGTGGGAGGACCGTAATAGTGAAAAGTTAAATTACCCTTTGTCGTTTGGAAGGAAGTGTAATCATGATAGAAGGGCAATCATAACAGGCAGACGAAATGGGAATTATTGGGTAATAAAAATGATCTTGGTGGGATACCTGAAGTGATATCGGTAAAAAATCTGCCAAGCACTTTGATAAGGAAAAGGTGCTTTTCCAGTTGCAGGAATTGTGAAAGATTTAAAGTAATTCTTTTCAATGGTATCGGTTTTCTTTTCTAATTTGAGCTCGTTTAAAAAATTTCCTGATGTTCCAGACTTTTATCAGTTTCTTCGCTTCTGTCTAACGTGGCAAAAATCTTTGCTTTGGCAACCTTCTACACTATAAACATTGTTCCACATATCCAGAAAATTCAATTCAAACTTTAATTAAATCAAAATAAATGTAGGTCAGAGTTGAACAGTTCGAAAAATTCCAGAAATTTCTGAGAAGCTCATCTAAAAATCATCACCGCTATCAGATTTCCATATATTACTTCTGTCACTTGAAGGCTCATAACCTGCTCTTCCATCCATCTCCCGGATTCTTTATCAACCGTTGTTCTCCTATCATTCCATCTAATCTTCCTTCAATCATTTTCAATTATCACTTAAAAAGCTCCCTTTAACTTTCACTGATATCATCGATATCACTTGTTGTTTCATTTTGTTGGATTCGATACAATCATTCCATTCCACAAAGGAATGTTTCTTTGTTTTATGAATTCCCGGAGAGATTCATATCAGATATCCTTCTTCTCAATATAAATAGAAGATTTCTCTTCCAAATTCATTCCATTAAATTTCAATTTGAATCTTAACATCTCATATATCCGACAATATCATAAGTTTCCGATTGAACTTTCTATATTCTAATCAAGTCAATTATGATTTGTTTCTTACATTTACAAAAGTATTCCAACTTTCCAGCTGGAATTTTTTATCGTTGACTAATTAGTTATGATTTTCCTTAAAAAAAATCAAAGAGTATAAAATGGTGAAAGGTTCCATTTGTGTTAAATATCCGTTGGGGAATGATCGGAATTCACAAATATCTCTTCTGGCATTCCTTTGTCGTCCGCTTACAAAACTTGACAGTTTGAATGAAAATTGAAAATTTTCAATCACTTTTCACACAACCAATTTCAGATTGTCAGTACCAATGCATCATTTCAGTATTTTCTTATTGCTTATCGGCGCTGTTTTCATAGTTCAAGTAAGTTTCCATAACTTATTGTTTCTTAGGTAAAAGGGCATATTTGAAGATAACCCCCAAAGTAAGTGCAAATTCTATTTCTAGGCCTGTAGCCCAATGCAAGGAAAACCAGGTCCTGCAGGACGAGATGGACAAACTGGAAGACGAGGCGAGAAAGGGCCACGAGGACCTGAGGGACCAATGGGAGAGAAAGGCCCAATGGGAGAGCCTGGAATTCAAGGTCTGCCTGGACAAAGAGGTGATATGGGACCACCAGGAGAACCCGGTGATCCGGGAATGCAAGGTATAAGAGGACAGAAAGGCGGAGGGTAAAAAAAAACAACTGATGAAGCTTGTCGATGATACTGAAGTAATTCCTCCCAGTGATATTTGTTCTCCTATTTTGTTCTTTTAGTCTTTATCAGCATATTACAGATTTGTACTTTCCATTATATTACGAAATTCATAAATGGAATTTAAAATTTAAATTTCATAGAACAAATGTTTGTTATACTTTCAATTTACATTCTCACTACGGCTGTTGTAAAATGATAAAAAATTTTTTGATTTTGCAATTGAACGAAGGAATTAACAAAAAATATTCCTCCTACTTTGCTGAAAAACAACATTCTACAAGAATGTTTTGAAGTATTGGTCCTAATAAAAAGGATTAACTAATTCTCATTCTAAGAAATTTTTCAAGTTACTGTATTTTGTTCACTTTCATACCTTTTCATTACAGTATCAGTGCAAAACTTTTTGATCGTCACGGTTAATACAGTTTCAGCAGTCCTCCCATTATCGCAATCATTGCTCATTATTTCCCTTCTAAAATCATAATAATCTTTACTTATCATTCGACCTGCATATTTTCGATCAAATTACAGTAATTCGACTAAAATTTTTTCCAAATAAAGATGTATCAAATGGTTCGGACATGTGTGATTTTTTTTTTCTTCAATGACTATTAAATTATGATTCAAGAGAAATTTAATTTTTGGCAAAAAATTATTCGGAAATCATAAAAACAAAAAATTATATTTGAAACAATTCGGATATTAATTATTGACATCATAAAAATTATAAAATTGCAAAAATTAGCTAATTTAAAACTAGCCTCAATTCACAAAAACGAAATTCCCTCTAATCATTGGTCAATTTGTAATGTTAATAATAATAATAGAATCAATTGTTAAATCATTGTTGTGATTAAATGACATCTGGCGACTAACTGATAGCATAACAACTATCAAATTTTACAGTCTTTTTTTTTTGTAGCTTTTGTAGCTTTTGTAGCTTTATTTTACAATTTTACAGTCTGATGTAGTAGTCCATGCGATGTTGAATTGCAATCAAAATTTATCATAGCTTAAGCGACTTCATTTTTCCTTTTCATTCCTTCGATTTCATTATCACATATCGCTTCTTTGCTTCAATTCGTTTAATTAACACCTCTTTCCTCCTTCATTTTCAACATTAGTCCCCTGCTTACATGTAATGACCCCGATTTTTCTTCAACAAATTCCCTCACTTAAAATAAACTTTAAGGTCAATATTGCTAATAATCATTTATCCTTTCCGCAATAACATTCCGGAAGCAAAAAATGTCATTAAGCCATCAAATTTTTACACTGTCACATATTCCACTATTTTAAAAATATTTCATCATCGGCCTCATACTTAACATTTCTAAAATTATGACAACAATGGTTTATGCGAACTGTATCCGATCTTGGATCAGATCCGGATCACTTTATACATTTGCTAGTATAACTTCTCGTCATCAAAAGAGAAAAGTAAAACAAAACACTTTACACAGTAATTACTGCAAAATGTCTTCGCTTGCATAAATTCGTAACCTGAAATCATTCGGGATACCAAACGTTACAGACATTAAAAGATGTGTTTGAACTGTTTCAAAAATTTTCATTCAGTTCCAAAAACAATTCAGAAGAATGACTCATGAGATTTCATCCAAAGTGATAATTTGCGATTTGAATATATAACAAAAGATTTGATTCGTAAAATTCAAATTTCAAATTCCAAATTTCAAACATATTCTGCTAAGGCATCGCGTATGATTTCAAGTCTATGAATTTTGTGACATAATGGAAAAGACAAAACAACCAGAATAAGAGAACAGGTATCACTGAGAAGAATTGCGACAAATTCCATTGTCTATTGCTCCTATCCCTTGGTTTCCTTCTGGTCCTACTGCACCTTGCTCTCCCTGTTTACCAGGTGGCCCCATCGGTCCTTGTACTCCAGGCCTACCTTTCGGTCCTGGATCTCCTTGACTTCCAATCGGTCCTGTCTCTCCTCGAGGCCCCACGGGT